TTTTTTTTGTTAATTGAATGACGGATCACTGAGCTTTAAGAATGCGCAAAGAAGGCAGAAAATTGTCCGCCTGGACCTCCCGGACCTCAAGGTCCTCAGGGACAACCAGGAAGAGACGGATTGAATGGAACTGATGGGCGCGATGGACCATCAGGTGGTAGATTTATGTAAGTATTTGGTATAGGAGAGCTTAGGTAGAAGATGATTTGAATTCTCCTTAGACTCTTGGCTATGTTTTGACTATGTTTTAGCTTTGACTCTGACACACCTTCCGGTTGCATAAGGTGCCCCAAAGGCCCGCCCGGTCTTCCTGGCCGTCAAGGTCCACAAGGGCCTCCTGGAATACCTGGAAATCACGGCATGCGTGGCCCTCCAGGTGACAGCGGAGTTCCCGGAAAGGAGGGACCAGAAGGAGAAAAAGGACCAGCTGGACATCGTGGACATCAAGGTCCTCCAGGAGTAGTAGGAAAACAAGGCATAATGTATCTACCTGGTGAAAAGGGGCCGAAAGGCGAGCAAGGTCCAAGAGGACCACCTGGGGAACCCGGGGCGCCAGGATTCCCTGGTGAAGAAGGTAAACGTGGAGCTGCTGGATCTCCTGGCTTGCCTGGTAGGCCAGGAAGGAGAGGACAAGATGGAAAGCCAGGAGAAGATGGTAAAGATGGACAGGATGGAGTGGATGGACGTTACTGCAAGTGTCCACCGAAGACTATTCACCCATAATTGTTTTCTTGAAATTAAGATTTACGTAGCTCACATTTATGTTAGCTGTCATTCAACATTTCATAATATATTTGCAATTTTTTATTGACAAGCCGTAATCACGTGATTTACCAATCGTCAACCTATATTTCACCCAAGTGCGGGAAGGTGCTCAGTATGCAGTTCACAAAATTTTCCCATTGTAATCGGGAGAAGAATCAAAAGACCAACCATTTCTTGTATCTGGCGGATACAAAAAATGCAGATGTGTAATTTGATACAAGTGCAAGTGCAGTTTTTATGTTTTGAAAGAAATCGCATGACCACAGGTTGTAGACATTAAATGTTGAAAGTGTGACCTGCGTAAAGCGATCACGTTTGTTCTTCGTTGCGAAGAAGACCGAACGCGGAAGCATTGAGAAAGAAGTTGATTGGTGCTTAACGATTCTTGCAGGTTCAATAGGAAAACTGCTATAAGAAATTGAGCTTGTTTCACCCGGTATCACTACATACGCTATAAGTTGTTTGAATGAATAGTATGTAACTTGGTGAAATGTCGTTCTGCATTTTTTCTCGAGATTCACATCAAGTACATATAGATTATGAATGAGTACAAAATAGTGCCAATCATAT